ATGACGTCATCGCGCACACGCGTGGTGACGTCTCGGCGGGGTGACACTCGGTAACCGATCCGGGTGTCACCCAGCCTCGGGACGCCCCTGGGTCCCAGCCTCCTCCGTCGCTGTGCCCCACCTCCTCCGTCGCTGGGCCCCACCTCCTCCATTGCCTGACCCCACCTCCTCCACCACCAGGCCCCACCTCCTCCGCAGCTGCTTTGTGTCCCTGACTCAGCAGCGGCTGTGAAGAGGAACGCAGCACCCTGTTACCGATCCGGGTGTCACCCAGCCTCGGGACGCCCCTGGGTCCCAGCCTCCTCCGTCGCTGTGCCCCACCTCCTCCGTCGCTGGGCCCCACCTCCTCCATTGCCTGACCCCACCTCCTCCACCACCAGGCCCCACCTCCTCCGCAGCTGCTTTGTGTCACTGACTCAGCAGCGGCTGTGAGGAGGAACGCGCCGCTGCACAGATCACTGACAGATTGTCAGTGATCTGAACAGCGGCGTGTTCCCCCTCACAGCCACCAGTGACAGCCAGCTGCCTGAGATGCCATAGCGACCCAGGTAGCCCGCACGGCATCAGGGGAATGTCCTGACCGGTGCCCCGGGCCCCATAGCAGCCACCTGGGTCGCTATAGTGATTGCTTCGCCACTGGGTACAAAGTAGTGGAAGTGCTAAGGGCTCATTCACACCACAGTGCACATGTTAATGTGAGCACAATGCACATGTATTGGCAGGCATTGTAATGTGCACTGCAATGCATTGTTAGAGCACTGATGCCAATAAACATAACTCCTAGAGGCAGATGCATGATGGGATGTAAACTCTCACCACAGTTGGAGTGCCAAGGTTGCCTACGTTTGCCATAGAACATAAGACAAATTGCCTTGTCCTTTCATTGGACTGGATTGAGTCTACTAGAGATGAGTGTGGGTAGTATTGAGATAGGGACAGCACACATGCTAACTAGGGAGAGATAGGGATCGCTCCTTCCTTCTCAATGTCTAGCTAACAATAGAACTTCTGTCAGATCTCTACACAGGGTACAGACTTACTTAGTGATCTCTGGGATGTTGAATGTTTTTTCAACAATGCCAACATGTTCACCAGAAGAGAACCTTTCTTTTTTCACCACAATTCCATCTGGGTTCTAAAAAGAAATAGGGTTTATGTTAGAATAGCAGTATAAACATAAGGGATACATCTAAAGTAAATGAGACCTGGTGCATTATGGGTGAGAAATTATTGCATTTTGCCAATGGGGCAGCTGGGATTGTGTTTACTGCAATGTTGGTTTGGCTCATTTACGTTTTTGGTGGCCCATGTGGGAATTCCTTATAGTACTAGATGACTGAATGCTTATTACACAATATTTTGGAGTAAGTGTGGGGCTACATGACCTCTCCTACACATCACATCACCTCTAATATATTAGAAAGAGAGTGGCAACTGGCATCACAGAGGAAGAAAGAGCTGGAATAGCTTTTGTACTGCCCATTGACAAGGGAGCATTTCCATGATTCTATATGTAAAACGCCCTAAGATGTTTGAGAACAGTCTACAGTGTATGTTATACCGTACATGGATGGGTTGACTTGAGACTTGAGAACACACTCTACAGTATGACTTATGTTGTTTAGGGATGTTTTTGTATCCCCTGCTCGGTTTAAAGTGTTTTGTATTTTTGAAAGGCCTCTTGCAGCATACTGGATTCAGGTACTTTCAGTTGCACATTGACTGCCATTCATACTGTTGAGGAGCTCCAGAGCCCTGCATCATTGGTGTGTTGCTGGGAGTTCTGCCTGTCTTGTCAACTGGCAAACCTCTCATAGGTTTGTCATTAGTGATTTTGACCAGGTTCCGACAAAACAGTTAAACCCTGACCTGGAAGAGTCTTTGGGACCTTCCCTTGCTGGGAAAAGGGTGGCTGTGGTGATAAGGCTGTGTGCCTAAAAGAGGCTCCAGTTCTGCAGCCCGGCCCTAGAGGGTATTGCCCCTCTATATACAAGCTGTGCGCTTTGTCATGTTTTGCCATCACTGGAATGGAGAAACTCTGGAACTTCTTGTTTTGAGGCTGCTGTGCTCCAAATGAAGCTCTGACCTACCCAGCAACTGCTTCCCGAGGAGTTGTAGGAACCCCCAGAAGATATTGGATATGCCACCTCTTCCTGTCCTACTTTTTCTTCTATAAGGTTTGAAAACATAGTTAAACTGCATTTAAGTCTGGACCTGCATTCCTACTGTGATGCAAGACAATGAAAGCCATGTACCTGGGGAAAAGTTTAGTCCGATAATCATAAGGTGTATGGGCACCTTAACAGTGAAGTGTGCTGGAAGCAGTACTCATCCACTGATAATGGGTAAAGCCTTGAGAAGAGAAAGGGTTAAGCCCGACCAGTCCAGCCCTACTCATGAGCCCAGATCAACACTAACAGGTCTGACAATGAGGGCCACCTGCCAACTATTATTAGCAGATCTTTCACATAACGTCCTTTTTCTCTTTAGATTTCCTGGTCCTCATAACACACAGCTCTAGCTTCCACGCTGGTGTCATTATTGCAGTAATCCATTCTGTACACATTGGGCAATAGCCAACAATGCAAGTGGCAAGGTTACCGTTCACCAACTGCAAACACAGCAGTTACAAAATACTCCAGAGCTGAAAAAGCCTGAAGGCATAAGAAGAACATTGTTTTCACATTTTACCTTTAGCTTTTCATATGTGTAGTGAACCTAGCCATAGTTTGTAGATGTACTCACAGCAGGGTCTATGTATTATGCCTGAGCATGTTTGAACCCCAAAGTCCAGTTTTTTGGATTAGTGATTGCTACATACTGTGCTTGGGAATGGTTCAGGGTGCTGTGCCCAGGCCCAATTGAAAGAGGTGGTCTGGAGCATGGTTCAGTTTGATTTTTGGCACAATACACATGTGTGATTGCTAACTGTACCCAAGCAGGGAACTTGAGTACTCGAGTACATTAGATCCATTTGTGTACACTCAGGTAGTAAGGGTACAGATGAAATAGGCATGCATGGTACAATGTGAGCTCGGGAAGCATGCTCATGCCCAGCACAATTTGAGTACAGACCAGTGGAAGGGGGGCAATCGTGCTCAGACACAGTACGAGGCAACCATGCACAGTGTGAGCACATCCTACGTGGCCACAAGATTCACGGCAGTTGGAATGGGAACTTTGTGTCAAAGTGTCAGTGCTATACCAAGAGAGATTAATGACCCATCTGGTCTGTACTGAAAAGCATCAACATTTTGACATAGGTTGCATTGTCACCAACATTCTAAAGTAAAATAGATACCCTGGTAATTTGCTTTATTGTTTAGGTCCAGGGAGTGGGGCAAAAAAGAGTAAAACTTCACTTATTCCTGAAGGAGATTTCCCTTTTGTGGGGGAGCAGAAGATGGAGGAATACGATCAGTGTAAGTGTGTCTCATATATAAAAGTATCTGAAATAAGACCCGCCTGTCCAAACTTTCATTGTCCAAAATGTTCTTCTTTCAGGCTTCCATTTGATGTGTTGATTTCAGGTAACATATATACTTCTTACATTAAGAAAATCAATAATCAAAAATATATGGACTTTTATGGGTACTTACAACGAACTCGACGTCTACAATGCGGGCATCAGGCTCCAAGGAGTGTCCAGTAACAAAGAGACGGTATTTTACTGGAAACGAAAAAATAAAGAGGCCCGGGGTCAATATAAAATGTTAGCTTCCCACCTGATGGCTTATTTACAATATGAACTGTCTCTCATTATTGATTAAGAGACCGCAACTGATGCAGCAGTGTATGGTTGGCCAGAAGCAGGACATTTTTAATGAAGGATAAGAAGCCTAACTGATGTAAGCCTAACTTTAATTTTATTTTGTCTATGGAGATAGGAGAGTGCAGTGAATGTGAGTGATATACTGTGAGGTAGTTTAGGTTCACACTGTTCTAGCACATAATTTTATTTATCTTTAGTATTCAGCAGCTCCAAGGACAATGGTAACATATTTTAAAAAAGGCCATATCAGCATAAAAATAAAACAAAACCCTAAAAGAAATGAAAACTGGAGCCAAAAGCCCAGTTTTTGGTCCTTCCAAGCCTGCTTGCCATAGTTGGAATGTCAAGCAGTGCATTATTGTTAAGAAAACATTCTCCTGGGTGAATCTGCATATCTAAATCTGCCAGGACAGCAATTCTTGAACCCGCAGGATTCCTTTTGAACCCGGGACAGTGGCAAAACCGAACCTCATCACTATTAGAAGATGAAGTTCAGTTTCGCTGCTACTAGAGGTAGAGACGCAAATTCATAAAGGTGCCTTTTCTTGATTGTTCCCTTTAAAATCTACTAGATCATTACCAGATTCATATGATGGTCCTGAAGTGTAAACTGTTTTATTGACCCTACGATGTGACTTTCAAGTCACTGGCCTTGTGCACGTTAAGAGCTAACTAGTGGACAATTATACATCTTTAACCAAAAATCATCACAAGCCCTAATTTTAAATCCTATCTACAAACTAAAACAATTGTTAACTGACTTAGTCAAGTCTGGATGAAGGTCTATGAACAAATGGCTGAGCGCATATTACCCAGAGTTCCAGGGTTGTAGATCGGCTTGTCTGTCTGTATGAAGATGTATCCACTGTGGAAGGACAACCGAACGACCTTCTGAAGCGCGCACTCCTTCGACCTCACCACCACGTTTACATAGTGCTTCTTATTGGTGTCTTTAAACAAATCATTGCCAGGAATCTACAGAACAAACAGATCGATACCTTTACTTTAAGGCAGAAATTCACAATAAAAAAAATTGTGTAATGAAATATAATTTTACATGAGATTGCCGCTGCTATGTTTCTTGTTGTATTTGGAGTATTTCGTCCCACTGGATGTATGAATGCAACCGCCAGTTATAACCTCACCTTCATATCGACTTTTCCAAGGAAGCCATTGGCACTGTTCAGTGAAACCTTCCCTTTTACCAGCTCTTGTGACTTCAGCGGGAAATCCTGAATGATGATTTCTGCATCAAACTGAGTGCTCTGTAACTGTGCGTCCACTATGATGGTCTCCCGGGTCTCCAAACGCAGGATGCTGGGCATGATAAGGGCACATCTGTCAGGGAAGAAAAGACCCAGGTCAGTGCCTGTCTGAGAGCGGTCTGAGGGAAAAACTCTAATCCTCAGCAGTTGGGTTTCCTGTCTGTATTTCAAGGTCTTAAAATGTGTATAAATATAT